AGCTTTCCTACTTAGACTTGCATATTTCCTAGGATCTGCAGACAATAAGAGAAAAGATGGCCTGTAGCTTCATTGGAGCTGCAGTGCAGCAAGTCTGACAGCGATGCTTTGCATGTCGCCCTATTGATAGGGAGTCTGAAAGAAAGAGCCAACTTGCATCCACAGGCTATGGATGACAGAGGCCTCTTGCAGCAGTAGTTCCCAGCTAAGGAGGTGCTAGGCATTACAGGCAAGGTGCAGCTGTGTGCTGGCTCTTAATGCATGGGAGCTCAGGCACGTTAACTCCTTTGGCCTGGTTCTGGCTGTGCTTCTGGAGTGGGAGGTGCATGGTGCTTGGGAGCCTCTGGTGAGTGGAGAAAGGTCTGTCTAGATTTGCTTGAATAGATCTTCACCCCATCGGGTTATGAGGTGGCCACACAGAATCGGTCCTGTTAGGGGAGAGGGAGTAGGAAGGAAATGAGGGGAGGAAAAAAAAAAAAAACACCTGATGGTAGGGGTGGGGAAGTAAGGAAGTGAGAAAGAAGGCTGCAGCAGCAGGGTTCAGCTAAAAAAAAGAAAAAAAAAATAGTCGGGAATTGCTGCTTGGGAACCTTAGTAGGAAATAAAAACATGGAAAATCCAGTGTTAATACCCCTTTGAACAATGGAAAATTGTTGAACAGGAGGAAAGGCAAGGCCCTTGTTGATGTTTTTGCTGTTAGCCTGGTGGACGGTGCATTTGTGAAGTTCAGCTACAAGTTTTGCAGTGAGAACTGACAGGGACTGAAGCCTTTAAAGTGATGCAGTGTTCAGAAGTTACAGTGAATGGACTGAAATTGAAACAAATAGAGTGAATAAAGGGAAATAAAATACTGTGCCCTGAAAAAAAAGGGGAGGGAGGGGCAATGAAACATCCACGCAATCTAGTGGGAAGACAGTAGTACCATACCATAGATCCAGGGAGATGAGAAGATTATAGCAGGAGATAAAGGGAGATAGAAATGCAATATGCGTTTGCTTGAATCACTGGCGTCCAATATAACGTAGATATGCAGTGTATTCTATACTGTAGTTGGTCTGGTCCCCAAGCCTCGATATTTCAAAGGGTAACAAAATTACTATGTATGTATATGTATATTTACACACACACACACACACACACACACACACTTTTTTTTTAAACAGAGGCAGGGGTCACTTGTACTTGCTACCACAACTGTGAACGGAACAAGGAAAGCTAAGTTTGCTAACCAAGAAATTCTTTACAAAATTTTAAAAAGTTCATACACATTGAGAATTTAAAATCCCTTCAGCCAGTGCCTTGCTGTTTTAAGTCCTGAATCAGCATCAAAATTGGAAAGAGGACCAGGAAGGCTTCTTCTGTCTATTATCTCATAACGCTGTCTAGTTAGAATAACTCAAGTCTTGTGGGAAAGCATGATGTCTGCATTTGTTTTGTTACCTAGTGCACTCCCTTCTGCAAGATTGTTCTGTGCTTCTAATCCTTGTTCCAAATAGTCAGCAATGCCACAAAGCTAGTTTCTATTTATGTTTTCAGAATTGATATTTCTCTTTTTTACCTGGATTGAGTAGCTCCTATTTAAGTAACAGAATTCCTCTAATGCTCTCGCTGCTCTGAGAGTTAAGATATTATGGTAGTTGTTATTTTGTAATGGTTCATACTTAATGACAGTTTTGTAAACTACTTCAGATCTCTGCAGATCTCTGGTCAAAAGCTTATTAAGATCACCAAGCTTGGGATTAGACCCTTAGTCTTTACTGCCCTTTTGACTTGTATCCTGTTCCTAGATGATGAACCAGTTTTGCCACTGGTCTTTACTAGTTTGGTGTTTCTGTACCTTGAACAGTAACTGCATTGTTTAGGCTAGCAGGCCTTATAGATGGGGGAGCAATCATTTATCAAATATCTCCATCCTTTTACATTATGATTTATTTATACAGTGCATTTCCGTTGATTAAACAGAACTGGTATAGACATTAACCAAGAAGCTGTTACCATCTGAGAGATTGTATACCACAGATATTAGGATAGGAAATAAACACGTTTTTAATTGAGAAAACATGGCCTTATTCTCCTGGCAATTATGCTGATGGAATTCCACTGACACAGTTGAAGTTGCTTCTTGTTTACAGTCATGTAAATGAGAGGAGAACTAAGGTTTGTGCCTTATGTGGCTATGTCTTGTTTAAGCCTGTCAGTCTCGGCCTGATCTGGGCCCTCGGAATATCGGAGTTTCTAGACCTGACAGATCTCTTTGAGGTTATTCCCAGCTACCCCTGTTCTCCTCAGGGAAAAGTTCCCTCTGTGTATACATATCCCTGTTCAAATGTATTCTTCAGAAATGCAAGACTACAATTAAATCTTCACCTCTAGCAAGGTGCTTCCAAGAAAAACAATAAAAATCTCTCGCCTCTTAAGTGTACATTTTCACTTAGCTCTTGATCATGGCCCTATCAAAATAAGGAAATAAACGTGTAAAACGTTAACAATTTTCTAAACTGTGACTATGACTCGGAGTTGTAATGTAGTCACTTACTCCTCTCATGTACAGAAAACATTTAACAGGGTTACTGTTTGGCGTTGTGTCCCCACCCTCGACAGATTTCTGAACTTGTGCATTTAGCCTCAAAAATTATAGGTTTGTTTTACGTCTTGTGATATTTTATTTTAAGAATATTTTTGAGGGATTTATTATAATTCACAATCCAATTTCTTTATGCCACTTTTCTTTGCTATGAAAATTGAAACTGGTGTAGCGGCGTGTCTCGAGTAGCCAAAGGCTTCTGGAGAATCTGAGATCTTAGGAGCCTCTTGCTAAAAGCACGAGGGTAGCTGCACATACCCATACCCACATACAGCACAATCCTTCTGTTGCCCTGCTCCTGGGGTAGTTGGAATAGTTAGCGGTACTCGCTTTCCACTGTGACATTTTGATGTGGGTCATCAGCTGACTGGTCAGTGCAGTGATAAGATCCCTGTGCCTGATCCTTCCCCGTTGCTTTTGCCATTTTAACCAGTGAAGTAGTTTTCAACTTTTTCTTGAAAATATTCCACTGGAAATATGGATCTCTGGATAGCAAATTTCAGCCTGCTAATAATAGGCTTGCTTTTTTAGCTGCCTTTCACAGACCAGTTAGAAGTGTTCTGTTGACCCTCCATGGTTCTGTAAATTGGGGTGAAAATTGCCATGCTGATAGGTATCTGGATCAATCTGCAGGAGACTGCCAAAAATTCTCTGCATAGCTGGGTTATTTTGTTTCCTTCTTGTTGATCAGATAAAGCTTTTCAGGCCTTGCAGAAACCATTAGGAAATGTATACAGAATATTGATATTTCCTTGATATTCCTGCTAGAACTTGCTTTGGCAATTTTTGACAGACTTCTTGTTAGATTTGAACTGTGTGAAAGTGTGACAGGAGAAGCACCGGTTCGTAGCCTATTCATTAGAAAACAGCACATGTTCTCTCATTTCTGTTGTGAAGGAAGATTGAATATGTGATGTTATAATCAATTAAGCTTTACACATAGAAAATGGAAATGAACTTCCAAATGGTCTCTCTCATGGTTTCAATCTATATCCCCTATGTTTTTTTTGTTTAAATACATTTCTTATCCTATGTTACCTAGTTTAGCGGTCATGAGTATAACATAACTGGCAATGGATGTTTCCTTCCCTTTGATAACAATAAACAGTTAATTTTAAGTATTGTCTGTCAGCTATTAACATGCTGTAGTTAACATACTGTAGTTCTGAGCATGTCATAAAGTCTTCCAAAGTGTCTTTGCAAAGGGTGTAAAAAGCAAACTGAAAACCCTGAGAAGCTGCAGTACTTGCCCATGGCCTTGTTCTTGTTTTCAAAATTGTTTTAATATAACTGCCAAAATTTGAAGTTTGTTGAGTTGATATGACAAAATGTAAGCTCTTCCTGAAGTTGAATGTGAGTAGACCTCTAGCAGAGGAAATGGTTGCAATGCCTAATAGTAATACTGTTGCTTTGCAAGTCATACCCATGTGCTTGACAATTATAGCATGAGTAATTATATGGAAGTAAGTGGGATGATGATGTTGGTGTTAAGCTTGGTGTAAGTTTTATAGCATCAGAACCACAGGTACCCTACAGCTACCAGTAGGATGAAGGCCCAAATCATTTGTTAGCTCATTGTTAACACGTTCTTCAGGAGTTGCAGGCCAGGCTGTTTAAAACAAAACAAAACCCTTGGACATGGCTTATGTCATGTCAAAAACAAGTTACTCAATTTATATAGGGTGTAAAAGCGTATTTTAAGTGTTCATTGCAGCAGGAAATTGATTTTAATTTATTTATATCTCTAGTGTATATGTTATGTATTTTTTGATTATGCCTGCAATGCCAAATGCCTTCCAGATGCAAAAGAAAAGATCTTTGCTCTGACATGTCCTTAAGCTAAACTGATGCGTTTATTGTCATTGTGTCTCACGCTTACTAAGTGGCCTCTCTTGTAGTCTTACGCTGTGATTAAGTCCTTTACCTTTAGTGTTTAAATACTGGGTTCCCTGCAGAGCAGGAAGGGCTGACATGTTCTGTCAGTGTGTTGTAAATTAAGTTCACATGTAGTATGATTCAAAAGCGGATCAGTTAGGGTGAGTTATTCCCCTTACGCCTCCCTCCCCCCCCTTTTTGGAGGGGGATATTGTTTATATGAGAATAGTAGGTTGGCCATTGTAAACAAAAACAGATGTTTGTATATATAAGAACGAGGAATTAAAAAAAATTGACCAGACCACATAGAAGAGAACCTGAGACTTTGTGCTCCTATAACATGACTCTAAGATAATATACACGGAAATACCTATGTATTTCTCAAGTAATGAATGGTGTTTATGTACTGAGTCCTGATTTTTCATTCTGTCTCCTGAAGATCTCTCTCTTAAGCAAGTATTGACTAACAAAGCGTATTTAATAACAGATTTGTCCTCCAGCCAGAAGTCTTGAGTTGAACACCTGCGCTGTGTCCACTTACCCACTTCTTTTCTGCACTGTGGAAATTAGTCTCCAGACTTTCAGGCTGAGATAGGTCAGTGGTGTCCCATTCCTCTTTAGGCGGTTCCGCAGCAATAGCGCTCTCGCTCTCTCTCCTCCCACCCCAATGATATTTATGAGAGAGAGTTGTAGATATTTCACTGGAGCAAAACCACTTCCAGCGTTTGCAAGAGATCTGAATTTTTAGTTGACTCTTGGTAGTGTGCTATTCAAGAATGGAACCACAGTTTTAATCGCTGTGTATTTGCCTAGGTATCAGTCTCCACTAAAAAAGCGTAGTGACTTTTGTCAGACTAATTCCCCTTTTAAATAGGATTTTACTTTTCATGTGACCCTTTCCATGCTTTGCTTTGGAAAACAGAACCAAACCTTTTAATATAAGTGAAGCAGAGTCTAGGTTAAAAAAAATTTATGACTGTCTATATTCAGGACTATCCCAGCTTGTTACTGCATCTGATGTCAGATCTAGAACTTTAGTAATTTAGGTGTTTAAATTTTAAAACTAGTTTTTTCTTCATTTTAATTTAATATGATCTTACTGCCAATTAAAACTTTATTGTCAGGCATGAGTCTTTAATCTTGTTAGCTCTACTTTGAGTCGGCAAACCAACTTAATTTGTAATAAGATTATGAAATGATGTAATGAAGTTTAAATTGTTAACCTATGTGTGTGGTGGGAGAGAGTAAGTCTGTGAAACATTTTTAAGCTGTATAAACGTATGAATAAGTGATTGTCCTTACAGAGATAGTGAAAAATGGGCGAAATTATATGGACTTACTTGTAGGAATTGATTTATTTGACCTTATGCTAGCAGATTGTATGGATAATGGCTGTTTCTGAAAATTATATAGCATCTTTCTCTGAGCATCAGGAGTGCTGAAGCTAAATTGTAGCTATGGTTAAAACTGAAAACAAATTACAATGTGGTATGTGAATTTTGTGAATGAGGAGAGGAGATTCTCCCTCGGCAAAGTAAATAAGATATGCATATGCACATTTTTAATCTTGATTTTCTGTTCTGTATGTTACATGCATAAATATACAAGCTGGTATGCTTTAACATTAATTCATGCAACTTTTTCAGTTTCATAAAACTCCTTAAACTATCTCACTGGACAACATACTAAATGTTAAAAGCAGAAAGATAAGAAAGTACCTTAATTCTCTTAATTCATTTATCAGTGTTATGTTAGAAAAAAAAAATTGCTGTGATTAGCACTTGCTGATCAGGTACTTGCTTTCATAGCCTGTGTGATTCATCCACTTCTGTGCACCGGCAGCTTCGCTTTCTTGAGTTTTGCCTCTGTGTGGCAATACCAGCTCCGTTTAAGTATCCAGTGACCTTTCTTGCATGTCACTTACCTTAACAAGCGCAAGGTCATCCCTTCTATGTTTAGATTTAATTATCCTGATAATATAGCCTTAACCTTTGACTGCAAGAAACTAATTTTCCTCTTATGAATTTGATCCTCTTGAAATAACAACCAGAAAGCAAGCTATCGAATCCTTTGCTGTCTAGATAGGGGCAGTAGCACCTCCTTTCAGGTCAACATTACTCCTTACAGCCAAATAGAGCTCTTGCCTTGTAAATGACAGAACTTCACCGTAAATGTTTTGAGAAACTGCAATATTTGTTAAATAACAAATAAATAAGTATTTGTTATTATTTGTGATCTCAGCATGTTTTCTGTGTAGTTTATCCATTTTGTCTGGGCAACAGTGTCAGTTTTGAACAATTAAACACAAACATAACTACAGCATGAACTTCTTTGGCAGAAGACATAGTTGATATTGCATATACAGTCTCCCTTTCTCTGAATTAAAATGGAAAAATGCACTGTACTTTTCTCAGTGTCTTCCAGAAATATGAACGTTCCTTATGAATGATCCTTACGTGTTGAAATAGGAGGAGGCTGAACCATTCTGTTTAGGTATATGGAATACAGTGTATTTGGTAGCAAAACTGTTGTATCTGATTTTCTAGAAGGTAGATCTTTAAATATGAAGATTGAGTTTTGAGCACTAGGAGCATTGTGTAAGTATGAATTTTGGCACTTTTAAAGAAGCGTCCTTGGAAGAAGTTCCTAGGTGTGTAAAGAGTTGCTTTCAGAGTGTTACGTTTCGGGTGTGTGCTAACATTCGGAGTGGTGTAAGTTCTCAGCACAGGTTGATTGATTCCTTGCCAAAGTTTTATGGGCGCTGCTGGTTTTTGTTTGTTTTGGGGTTTTTGTTTGTTTTTCCTTCCCCAAACGCCTAAACTTGGTGGGAGTAAATTAACACTGTGTACGCCTGGAGTAGTGCAGTCTTTGCCTCAGAGATGTCCCTTACCCTCTGGATAGATGAGGTGCTTGGAGAGGCAGAGAGGACATGGCAATGGCAACAAATGTCATGTTATCGCCCTGATTATAGTGGATTGGATGTAGCTAGGAGTGCTAAAGGGGAGGTAAAGCAAATGCCATTGGGGTGTGGGGCAGAGGTGGCAGAAGAAGGAAAGCAGAGTAAAAGACTTGAGAGAGATATAAAGCTAGAAGAAGCAGTGAGAGTGGGAGACAGCTGTCATTCAGGTCAGGTATGCTCCAGAGAAGACTAGAAATTCCTGAAAAGATCTCTGTGCAGATGGTTTCTTCAGTAGTTCCTGTCACTGTGACTCCTCAGTGGTTTGGTTTTGCACTTCTTCCCCAAAGCTGTGAGTCCATGGATAAGGAAGGGAAAAAGGAAACCTCTCCCACTTGCTAAACTTGCCATGTCTGTAGGAGACCCTTCCTGAGGTCTGATCCAGAGATCAGGGATCTTGCCAGCTGTGTCAAGTCTTTAGTCCTCTCCCACACGCCAGTGTCCAGTTCTTGCTTCAACCCCTGCTGTGGCTGTTCTGGTTGGCACCTGTGTAATCACGGTACTCTTCCTTAAACGCTTGTTGCCTTTTCTCCACAGGGGCGGAGGTGGCCAGCTCATGGATTTAATGTGTAATTAAGCGAGTCTTAAAAGCACTTTTGCATTCTTCTGAGTAAGAAGTGTTTTCCTAAGCATGAGAGTCTGGTTTCCAAATCCATTATTTCTTGATTGATTTATTTATCTTTTTTGCTTTTTCAACTCTTTCTGCAACTTGTAATTTTCCACACGATCCTCATACCATTGTGTGAAAGAAGCTCTGCATTTCTCGCAAAGCAGTGAAAAACTGTTTCTGATCCTTTTTCAGATGCAAGTATGGACATTATAGCCTATGATGATTACTCCAGTCCACCGCTCCAGAGATATTGAAAGGAAACCTGAATACCTCCAGCCAGACAAGTGTGTTCCACCTCCCACCCGCAGTTCCCTGGGAACGATGTGGTTTATTCGGGATGGCTGTGGTATTGCGTGTGCTGTCGTTACCTGGATGCTGGTGTTCTATGCTGACTTTGTAGTCCTTCTTGTCATGTTAGTTCCATCAAGAGATTATGTTTATAGCGTGATCAATGGCACACTGTTCAACACCTTGGCTTTCCTCGCTTTGGCTTCACATTTTCGTGCTATGCTGACAGATCCAGTAAGTATATTTCTTTCTGTATGTCTCAGCAAGAAATGGGCAGTGTTTTTCTTGTCTACTAGATGCTGAGTAACTCATTTGTTGAGTGAGTGGCAGTTTTAAATAACTTTTGGGTGTCAGCTGCTGATGTGGTATGCTAATTTGTCATCCGGCTCAAGTCAGAGGTAGAGTCAGGGACCAAGGTTTAGACTCGCATTGTGTGAACAGCTCTTCTTTTCACACTGACAAAGACTGTTTCTCTCTGACACTGTTTTCTCACCAATGCCAGATCTGTGTTTGGGGCTTGTCATGTCTTGGCAAACAGGAAAGCTAGGCAAAACTGGTTTTGGTTGTCTGCTTTGGCAAGTATTGCTTCAGCAGAATTGAAAAGCTGTGTTGCATCTCTCATACTGATGATTTCATCAAGTTTATCAGGCCACGTTAAATATTACCTGGGCATGCTTTTTCATTAAATCCCTTTACGAAAGTGAGGTTGTGTTTCTACGTCTGCAGTAAGCTGCCGGATTCCTGAATCAGAGCGCCGAAAGTTCCTAGGCAGGCAGGAAGCTTAAGGATTGTAAGACGCCCACCCGCCCGCTTTCTCAGATTGTGAGAGATCTGATCTGTTGCTTCCTCATCTTTCAGCTAGTGAAAAGCTATGTTTTCATACCATGCTGCTCATTCTGAATGCCCTGTGATGGTTTATTTTGCTTATCAACCTCTGGACAGTCAATTCAATGTAAAGCCTCTTCTCCCCTCGTCAGTGGGAGAAGAAACAAGCTTAGCCTCCTCTACTCCCCTCTTCTTGAGTCTACGTGTTGCTGCTGGGGATGGCAGGGGGTCTCTGATACTCTAATTATTCCTTCTAAATGCCACTTCCTATATAGAACTTTGTCACATGCCATTGAAACTTCAGTGTAGTCTTTATTGCTTGGCTTCCAGCTCTCCCAGAAGCCACAGCACTGCAGAAGTGTCTTGATTTTGGGTAGTTTCACTGTTAAAGCAAAGACTGATTCTTTGCATGCTACCGCTGCTTGGCAGAACTGTGAGCAGCAGTTGAGGCGCTGAAACTTCTAGCCATTGGAGTCAGGAACAGGGGGTGGCAGCGATTTGTTACATAGCTTATATCCTGAGAGACATAAACCTTTGCTGTTTTTAATTATTATATGTTTTGTGGCTTTAACTCCTAGGGATCTTTGAGTCTCCAGAATTATTTTGCCGAGTTAGCTATAGCTCTTTTGAAACAAAAGCTATATTATAAAGCTGACTGGGCAAAATAATTGTAGGAGAAACAGATATAATCGCAAAGCAGAGTAATCAGGAAAAAGAGATGTTAGTGCCAAGTATGTTGTGGGGTTTTTTGTGCATGGATGGAGAGAGCCAGTAGGATTTTGTTTTATTCTTTGGAGGTATTTTTATGAGAAAATCAACGAAACAAAATGGAGGAGGTAAAGATAAGAGGCAAGATGGGATGCAGCAATGTAGTGCATGCAGTGTGAGTCTGGGATGAAGAGGATGCTGGGACATGGAGAACGAGGGATACATCTAGAATCAGAATGTAAAAGAAAGCACTATTGAGGCAAACAGAAATAGGATTCTTTTTACGGATAAATGAAAACCTGAATCCTTTAGAAGTTGATAGCGTGTGTCATGCTCTTCAGAATCAGCTTCCTGGGTGTCCTTGCTAAATACGTCCCTAAGGTCTTGAGCTTTCCTGTGCACCGAAGAGAGGGAACGTCAATCAGACATGAGTTGTAGCGTTTTGTGGAAATTGGTCTTGGTTGATTTTTAAATTGGTCAGGCCTGTTGGGAAGTTTTATGGAAAAAAAAAAAAACCAAAGACTGCTCAAGAAAGTTTTGAAATAGTGACTTAAGGTGTAGTTCTTTTATTAATGTGTACTATTCCAGTTTATTGCTGTTGGGATTGTATAAATATGTCAGGAGGAGACTGTTCCTTCAGAAATCTGTTTATAATGTTACATTCCTGTTTATTTTGATGTAAAAGCCTGCGTCTTTGGAGATGCATTTGTGCCTATGTAGCAGCAGTGACTTCATGCAGTGTGTTTCATGACTGTCTTTATTTTATTTTATTTTTTGAGTTAATGCGTGGTCCTAGAAAGGCTGGAGAGTGTAGACTTGGTATCTTTTGAAAGTTCATGCTCCTGCAGGAACAGTGCTTTGCCCACTTAAAGATATGTATTTATAGTGGAAATTGCATAATTAAGAATGTTTTTCTAGTCTTATTTTGGGAAGGGGGAATCCTTAGAAAGTGTGCACTGTTTGAATGTTAAACCCTCACTTAAATAACAAATACACAGATGGAAGCGTGGCTATAAATACCTGAGATGTTTATCAGCAACTCTTAATGTACACACTGATACTTCAGAAGTTGCTGCTTCTACTGGAATGAAACATTTGTAGCCTCCAGTTTGTGATAAGAAACACTGGGATGATAAATTCACTGATAGATGTCAAGAAAGGGATAAGGATTTTTAAATATTGTAAAGGTAATTGTACTATAGGATTACAGAAGACTAATCCCTTAAATGAGGATTAATCTATGGATCTGATTTAAAAAAAAAAAAAAAAAAAAAAAAGGTAGATAAATGCAAAATTAGGTTTTAGTACCTGGTTCCATATATTAGGACCTCATTTTAATTTCTTTCCTGAATCTTCTTGCCTTAATGTCAACAGAGTTTTAGGAAGTTTTTGTCTTTCTTCTCCCTCCCCTCTCATAGTTTTGAGTTAGGTCTTTTGTTCTTAGCGCTGGTTGTGTCCACAGATTAATCTTCTGCTTTTTTTTTTTTTTTTCTCTCTGCAGGGTGCTGTACCCAAAGGTAATGCCACCAAGGAGTTCATTGAGAGTTTACAGCTAAAGCCAGGACAGGTGGTTTATAAGTGCCCAAAATGCTGTAGCATCAAACCAGACAGAGCACATCACTGCAGGTAATGTGTTTTTTGAGGAACTGCTCTTGTACCACATGCGACTGGAGCTCAGGGATTATCCAGTGTGCCTTGATCTAATGTATTATTGGAGCGTGAGACTTCAGTGGTTCAATTAAAGAGTTTTGCATCCAAATTCTGTTACTGGTAGTGCCAAACGCATTTAAGCTACTCTGAAAAAAAAATCTTGGCCTTTTTTTGTGCAGTTTTAATCTACAGCAGTCTGGGGCCACTTCTCACAAAGTGAGAAACGCTTCAATTTAGTACTGCCTTGACTTCAGACTTTAATTGGCATTCCATAAGTTTTCTTAGCACGTATCATCATGTAGCCATGGTTTGAAAGGGGACGTTTGATATGAGAATGCATAGAAATTCATAAAATGTAATCACTCTCAAAGGGCAAGTGTCCCTTTTAGTTTTGATTTTACTCGTTACTCAAGGATCCATTTGTCTAACTGTAGATTCTGTTTAGAAGTGATATTTAAATTCTAAACTAAAGTTCAAGTAACTACTTTTTTTTAGGTTCTGACTTCCATGTTGTCATTAAATAGTGTAACTTTGTGCCTTGTGATAGATCAGTATGCCTACTGATCTGTCATGTCCTTTCTTTTTCTAGTATGATAAACTTCTGTGAAGAGAGTTACTGATAGTGAGCTCTTTAGTGCTAAAGACAGTGAGTAAAAAACAAAACAAAACCCTACTTCCTAAAATTCTCTTCAGCTTTTAAAAGAAGTGAATCTTCTTTCCAGTAAGTAGTTAAAGGGTTTGCACAGATATCCCTTTCTTAGCTACTCAAGTCCAATGCATACTGAGAAAGCTTGTATCATTGCTGCTGATTCATGCAGGGGTTTTGTGGGAAGGGGAGCACATGGTACTGAGCTGAACAAACTTGTTCTACTGTCTGCATTTTTCAAATTTCTCTTCAAAGCTGCAGTTTGTCAGTGGTGTGAGCTTTTTTGATTGTTTGTTTATTTTAGTCAAAACCAGGAATTGGTTAGTCAGCAGGAGCAATGTGATTGTGCCTGTCACTTATTAGTGCTACTGTAAAATCTCCTCTGACACTTATTCAATTATGAATGAAAATTTGCATCTAAAATGCTATCTTGCTGAAGACTCGCAGTGTAGGAAAATGGATAAGACTATTTAGCTGAACTCAAAACCTCCTCTCCAGGCACCTCTTTGTTTGCTTCAAGATAGTTGTATAGATGTTAAGATTTGGGAAGCTGATCCACTGAGCACTGCTGCTGTAGAGCATCTTCAGTTGATCTTCTGTGTGTGGATTTTTTTTGTGCTGGACTTTGACACAGCAAGATTGTGCGCGTGCTTCGGCAGGAGGTACTGCTAGCTGTGTGCCTGAGGGGGAGAGGGCTTTTTGATTCATGCTATTAAACGAGTCCCCCATGCCCAGCCAACTACTCCTTCCAGGTTTTGGAAGCTGGGTGGTTTGGTGGGGGTGTCTTACGTGGACAATCCCTACTGCCTACTGTTCTTAATCTTAGTTTCTGTTTCGTTTTTCACTGGCTAGTTTCGCGGTCTGCCTCTAACTGCTTTTGGAAAGTGTGTGTGGAATGAAAAGTCCCCTCTCCACCTTAGCTACCTCCTTCGCAGAGGTCGTCTTTGGCTTGGCTGCTTCAGGTTGCCCCTCTGTGGGGGGGAAGGGAGGGGAGGGGGGACTAAGACCTAGGAGCAATTGAAGGGTCACTTTGGTACTTACCATTTAAGAGCCCAAGGGACGCATGTGTGCATGTGCTGAAAAATGTACAAAGTAAATTAGACCACAGGGAGGCATCCTCCTCCTTTACAGTCTCTCCCCTCACCCTGCCCTTTATTTTTTTTCTTTAATACCAATAGCTGATGCTTGTCCAATGGAGTATGGCATTACTGGGCAGATAACTTATTATTTTTACCATGCCAGCTGATTTCAGCCCCCATGCAGCTTCAAACTCATTTCAAGCTGCTTCTCCCGACGAGACCAGGCCTTTCCTGCTGACCACTGTACCTGGGGCTTGCGGGAGATAGGGTACCTGTGCCTACCTGGGGAAAAGTGGCTCTGGATCTAGCCAAGTGCTGAGAAGCTGGGCCTGCCTGGCCAGCCTTTCCTGTAGGATCAGGGCTCTCCCAGTTCATTTGTTTTTCAGGCATGGCGTGTATCCTTGGGGATTATCTCCTAGATTGATTGCAAGGCTGTTCTGAGAGAGGTTTTCTATTATTTATTCATATGTGTTCACAGGACCACATTTACATTTCTATTTGAGAGTGTTTCTGGTCTCTCTTAAGTGTTTGGATGTTGTTATATGTTTCCCTTAAGGTCAAAATGTTTTTCTTTACAAGAAGAAAAATGCAAATGAAATTAGCAGAGCCCTCAATGCTTTTTGTTTCCCTGCGGCCAGAATTGTTCTGAAATGGCTATTTCCTTTGGTTCTCCGTTTGTTTTGGGGTTTTTTCATATTTGATTTTCGTACTTGTTTGTGCAATGTGGTGTCAGGAGACTGCCTTTCCTCTCCTATCATATGAGAAAGCAGCAGAGAAAAAGACTTCTTTTATGCTGTGAGTAGAAGCAGTTACTAGCCAAGAGTGTGATGTTTAGACAAAGTAGTAATCTTTTAGTTGTTTGACTCCTAGCCAGTCTGCACTCTAGCAGGATTTGAATTTTGTATTTTATTAGTCTGGTTTTGTGAAGTGCTTTAACATGTAATTTTACCTTGAATGGATATTGTGGAACTGTATTCCTGACTGACTCCCACTGCTGGTTTATGCTAGTGTGTGCCTTACCTTGATGTCAAGAATCTTTTCTAACGTTTTATGTTTCTTTCCTGTGAGCACCTGCTGCTGGTTAGTGTTAATAACAAATTAAGGCTTATTTACTAGTAACTGTAGAAGTTATTTGTTACTGTTTTTCATACCTTTGTTGTTATTTTTCTAACCTGCGGATATTTTCATAGACCAAGTAGGTTAAACCTAGACTGAAACATACATATTCGAATATCATCTGCTTAAATGTATTGTTCAAACCACGTTTTGGCATAACCACTGATGAGAATGTTATGCTAATGTGTTTTACTTGGTGTTATTTTTTTTACAACAGTGATTTGGCATTTTATGGTTCATTTTGAACAGAAATAGTCAAGTGAGCAAACCAGAAACATGAACGTAGTGACCAGTGAATTTATTTAGGTTCAGATTTCATCTCTGATTCCTCCCTTTTATTTCTCCACATCCCCAAAATGCATGTGAACTCTTGCTGTGTTTCTGGAATTAAATGTACTATAAAGATCTGTATTCTTTCAGTGTTTGCAAGAGGTGTATTCGGAAAATGGACCATCACTGCCCGTGGGTCAATAACTGTGTAGGAGAGAATAACCAGAAGTACTTTGTACTGTTTACAGTAAGTATTTTGCAAGCGGTGGTTGCAGTTGTCCAGTCGGCAGCAGTGCAATGCCGCGTGTAGTTTGCGAAGCAGCTCTGGAGGCTGGCTTTCTTTTCTTTCCTGTTAACCATCAAACTTCATAGGGAAGTATTGCAGACTTCTGTTTTGCTAATTAGGGAACACATATGATACAGCAAAAGGGAAAAGGCCTCACAAGAAGTATTTGCCAGGATTTTGTGAGGTTTCTAAAATCAGTTGCTTAGCGTGTTGTTTAGTAATGCACGTAGATTATTATTGCATTGAGATCTTTGAGGCATGGGCCGTCTTGTTCTGCTTTATGGTATGTCATGTCCAGTAGGGTCCTGGTCCATATCTAGGATTCTTAAATGTTGTAGTTGCATGAATGCCTGTGCGGGACCGTAAAATCAAGAGTTGCTGCTGCTGCTTTGATGAGAAGGAGTAGGAAGTCTCCATCCCTTTTGGCAAGGATTATCTGCCTTCTACTTGCAAATAGTTTATTTTCATCCTCAAAAATCAAGGAGGTGTTTAACTTGTTATACCTTATCTATCTTATAATGAATAAGAAAATGGGAGCACAAATTCTAATACCGCATATTTATGGAATGGTTGGAATCTGTTTCACCAAAGCCAACTGCATATATGCTGTGGGAGTAGTGTGAGCATTACAAGGCTGAGTTTCAGTTTTATTAATAATATTATTCAGTTTCTGTTTTATTAATAAATCTTATGGGAAATTTTAAGTTCAGAGAAGAATGTTCTCATTACCAGGTAAAAAGGGGGGAACATTTTCAGTTAGATGGAGAGGCTTACTCCTAAACTTGCATTCTACAGTGTGAGGTGTTGGGATGTGAATTACAGAACAAAACGATTGCCATTTCATTTCCCCTGAGCAGAGGTCCTTTCACTGCAAAGAGTGAGCTGGTGGCTTCAATCCTATCAGAAGGATTTCTGTTTCTGTTAAAACTAACATCTGTTTTGAAATGGGCTGTGTTTAAATGCTTAATCTGGCTGAGAGAGAAGCAAAATAAAGATTACCGGTTTTATTTTTGTTTACTCTTTCTAAGACCTGGGGAGGTGAAAAAATGGCTGCACACTAAAGCTTCAAGGAAAAGCAAAACAGTTTCCTATCCTTTTCCTGCTTCCCCAGGGAGCACTCTCTCCCAGTAACACAATCTCTCTCATTTCCAGCATCAACGGGCTCTCTTGTTGCAGTCTGTACATTCAGGGGAGTCTTCCTGTTAGTTCTGTGTCTGTAAATTGTAGAGTGTGCATGTAGCACTATGCATAATTTAAAGCTTTTGTTACAAAGCGAAGACATAATTTAAAAAATAGGTTAAGTACAAACTGTTAAATCTTGACAAAAATTTTCCATGCCAATGTCTACCTCAGAAGAAATACTTTTTTTTTTTTTTTTAAAGAAATCGTATTTCTCAAACTTATTCTAGAAAACAGAGAAAGTGCTTATTGTGATTAACACAAATTAGTTGTTGTTTCTTTGGGAAAGTACAGTGCTCTCATGCTTGAGAGCAAGGACTGAAGCTCTGCAATGATACCTTGATGTCAGAGTGATGCTGTTCTCTGAAAGCTGTGCTGTACCCAGCAGAGACGAAGGTAGTAGGCTATGTGGAAGACCACGCTGGGGCGTGGGTGGCTGGGTTCTGCGTCCAGCTGGCTTTGGATAAAACAGTCCCTTTCCTGTGCCTTTGTAAAATGGCACTGAGAGCTATTAGCAATGCCAGAATGCGCATATGTGGTTTTGGCATTTCTGGGCTCGATTTTATTTTCTTTCTTTTTCTTTTCTTTTCTTTTCTTTTCTTTTTTAGTATATGTAAATCATAATGCTTTCTGATTGCTTTCTTTGCAGTGGTTATGAGATTTAGAATTTTCATTTTAAGCTTTGCCTGATAGCTGTGTTGCATCCTTTGTTTTTCAGATGTATATAGCACTGATTTCCCTGCATGCTCTAATCATGGTGGGATTTCACTTCTTATATTGCTTTGAAGAGGACTGGACAAGTGAGTACAAACAAAGTATCTCTTCCAAATATCAGATTAGCCTATGAAGCAGACCTTACAATGCGCTTTGCTTGTAAGGCAACCCCTTTTAATGCTGCTGTCAGAGGAATGCTTTCAGGGCTGTGTTGTGCTATCTCTATTTTTAAGATCAATCCTGGAACTTAATAATTCTGTCTAATGTGCTAGGATCTCTGTCCTCAAGAGAGAAGTCCTGTTTCAACTTTAGCCTGAGACTGCCGAGGTCCTGAGATGTAAAAACTCCTAGACAGTATGTGTGCAGTAATTTACTGTTTATGCAAGTGTTGCATGGGGTAATTTCTGGAATGTCAAAGCAAGATAAGAAGAACGTGTATGCTCTTTTTAAGAGTAATGTGAATCATTCTTTCATTCTTGCAAGACTGCCAGGAAAACATGTCAGCGTAGAACCAAAAAATCCACCCTCACAAGAACAAACAATTCCTCTCCATTTAAAACAAACAAACAAACAAACCCCCCCAAAACAAGCAAAACTACCAGCCCTGGCTCTGGAGTGTCCAACGAGTACATTTTTCACAAAACTGTTTCAAATGTATGGGTTTTCTTGTTTTTGTTTTGTTTGCTTGTCTTTTAAAGAAAAGAATATAAGACATAGGAAATCACCTAGATAATGCTGAGGCAAACAGCTAGCTGATGAAAGATCTGTGTGAAGATGCATTTTTGCTGCTTGAAGATTTTTTGGAAGAGCGCTAGCTTCATTCTTACCGGCATTTGATTTGTCATTCAATATAATGTCAAGTTTTAGTAAATAATGCTGCAGAGGATGTGTGCACTTACACATATGAACTGAACTTGACAAGCTTATTCTGCAGGAATTTGTCAGGTGCCAAATGACACTGATCGAGTCTGGATTTGACTATGGTGGCCAGGGCCTCGTGGGAGGGATATATCAAAGGAAGCAGTTTCCTCTGCACCTTTTCTCAGAGCCTGGTCTCTGTAGGTGAAGCACTTTCCCAATTGCCCCGAATTCAGGTGGCAGAACAGAGGTGGATGTGCTGGTCCTTCTGTCAGGGATCTGTATTGATGGTGTTGGCCCCTGATTAATGCATGTCTGCTAAAGATGAGCATCTTCTCACAAAGGGAAAAATACTTTTTTTTTTTTTTTTTTTTTTTAAGTGATACTAGTTGATTTCAGAGAAGCCTGGAAATGTTCTGATGAACCAACCCCACCTTGTGATTTTTGCCCTATAACATTTTCTTCCCTCTTCCTTTCTTCTGCTCCTCCTTTATAATGACCTTTTCTGCCTTTTTCAGCTCTCACTAAACTTTGCTATGAGGTTGCAGTATAGGTAGAGTATGAGAAAAAACAAGAATTTGACTTAATGTACGCTTCTTTGGTTTACGACTTCAAGGAGTTATGAAAGAAAGCATGCTCTATTTTTATATTGGTGCAGAAGCAATCTTCCTTGCATCCTGACTACCAGCTTGAGATTTCTGGTGGACTTTATCATTATGGAAAATATTGCACTGGCACTTTACAGGAGTGATCAATTCATTGTTGCATATCTTCAAGAATGTCAGAACTTCCTCATATGCCTTTTTGAGCATGGTCACTCTTTTAGCTTATTTTTACAATTTTAGTGTGGAAAACTTGTAGATTAGCGGACATTTTGCAGCTGCTGCATTACCTGATCTTTCCCCTCCCAACTCCATTGTTTTGTCTTTGCAGAATGCAGCTCCTTCTCTCCGCCAACTACAGTGATTCTTCTCATCCTCTTGTGTTTTGAGGCTCTCCTATTCCTCATCTTCACCTCAGTAATGTTTGGGACCCAAGTTCACTCCATCTGCACTGATGAAACGGTGGGTGTCTCATGCTGTCCTTCACCCTGTCTCTCTCGCCATTTGTAGAAACAGTGAAATGTTACAGGGCTCTACCTCAATGTGCAGGGACTTTGTGTATGTGTACCCTTTGAGGAAAAATCTGATGTAACAAACTGAGCTAGCACAGTCCTGGGTTGTACTCTCTGAAGTTCTCTTACTGTGAGAACTAGTGTGCACTTGTGTATTTGTAGGCTGGGATGTTGTGTTGACGGTGCCTTTGATAAGGTAGCATTGGTCAGTGCGATTACTCTCTATAGAGCGTTTGTCCCTGTGGATTGGAGGACCTTATTCCTTTTCTGGAGTGCTGTTACACTGGTGTCATTTTAAATTTGAAATGCTGTGGATGCCATGACATCACTGTGTGCAGTGAGTTGTGGTGATGTTTTCACACTTGTGAATACTGCTGACCTTCACCAAGCATGCTCAGAAATCTGTGATAGCTCACCCTAGGAGATTGAAATGAACTGGAGAGGCTGAAGAGAAGCAATTATCTTAAGAGTAACAACTCTATTTGCTTCTCCCCCGCCCCCTGTTAAGTTTTCCTTCCCCTTCATTTGTTTGCGCATGGCCAGTTGAAGCTGGCATATGTATACTTGATGCCATAAGAGAGCTAGAACTGGCACCATGGAGTGTAAGAACCCATCGCTCCTCTGACTTTTTATGACTTTGTTTTTGTGCTGGGCTTCTACAAGAAGCTGATGATCACACTGTGCAGCTGCTCTGTGTCCAGAGGAAGATTTCAACTATTTTTTCTGATGGGGAGATTCTCAGGAGGAAGTACAGTATAATACAGAACAACAGGATCCTCCCAAGCTTGAATTTTTTGTTTGAATTTTTGTTTTTTTGTTACCACATAAATTAATAATGCTATCTGTGAAATCATCATCTGAATTTCTCAGTGTTTGAGAGCTTGGCAAGAGTATTTAGAACCTGTTTCCTACAGCCAGGCACCCAAATGAGTCCCTTGATTTTTTTCCCCTTCTCTCAAATGCTGGGTACCCATAGAGGTTATTGCCTATGTCACAATCTAAAATTAAAATGAAATATAGGCTACCCCTATGTGGTGGTGGATTTGTATGTATGTGGTGGATTTTTTTTTGTTTGTTTAGTGATTTTTTTTCTTTTTTGGTTTGCTTGTTTTGTTTTGTTTTTAATACTTACAGGTAGGGATTTTGCTCTTTGGAAACTTCTGTGTTGTCCATGATATCTCTCATTGTTGATTTTTTTGCTAGCGTTGGGCTAGCTATGTCTGGTATGCAATGTGCTTTGAGTGGAGGAATATTTCCCAATGAAATTTCTCCTGATGTGGTCTCTTTTTCTGTTGTACCTCACATTTTAGAGACAGGGCTTTGTCTTGCCCTTTCTCACCTCCCTCTTCCAACCATTGGGAAAGTTCACCTCACCATCTGGTGTACACTGTCCCACAGTGATGGTTCCTTTCTGCCAGAAGAGACCCAGAACCCTAGTATTTGGCTGTTATCTCTGGACGTGACATTACCAGTAGTCAGTGCAACTCTTGCAATTGACTGTGTTGTTCCTGCAGAGCTCTGAGAATCAGGAATTTGAGACACACAGATACATTACAGTGCATTAATCTGTAGCACAGAAGAGAGATGTAGGTCAGGAGAAGCTTACCTTTCAAAAGATCCTAAGTTAAAGAGCAGAATCATCTGTCTGCTGCTCATACCTGTTGAAGTGTAATGCTCTCCAGTGTCTGCACTGGTTAATTTTGCTTCTGTGGCAGCTAGGCATAGCTTTCCTGGAAGGCCCAATTAACTTTGTGGGTTTTAGATATGATATATTTTGTTGTTGTTGTGGGGTGTGTTTGTTTTTTTTTTTGTTATTTTTTAAGTGAGTGACTAGTGAATATTTCAGCTGATTTTGCTTGGTGGCTTATTTTTGTTCTCCCTCTAACCTTTACTAAACAATGCCAATGATTTCTCTCAAATCAGTGTACTTATTTAACCCTTTCTCCCTGCTGTCAGCCCATGCATGTTTTGGCAGTGATTTTAATGAAACATGAAGAGGCACCAGGTAGACTCAGCCACACTGAACCATGGGCACTTCCTGAACTTGCTTGGTGAATCTGGGAGCATTATAGAGATTATCTTGTTTTTTTTTGTCTGCAAGCTTATAATGGTTTCCTCTACAACTCTTCCGTCTGGTTAGCACATAATGCTTTCAGCCATTAAAACACATACTTTTTCTTTGGTTTTAATTGGTGGGCTTTTTTTTAATTGACATCTGTGGCAATTGGAGGGCCGGTCTTAAAGTTTGATGAACTTTCCAGGCTTGAAAAAAACAAGAGTAATTTTATTTCCAGTGAATATTTTCTGTCCTTAATTTTTTTTAGTATAATACAATGAGGAAATAAAGGAGAGGCTTTACAGCATCCCTTGGATAAGGGGTAACTGAGGGTAGACTTCCCCCAAATCCAGAACCCAAATTAAGTATTTGACTGAAAATGTGATATTTCTGTTTTCAGGGAATAGAACAGTTGAAAAAGGAAGAGAGAAGATGGGCTAAAAAAACAAAATGGATGAACATGAAAGCAGTATTTGGCCATCCGTTCTCTATAGCATGGCTTAGCCCATTCGCAACACCAGATCAAGGAAAAGCAGACCCGTACCAATATGTGGTCTGAGGAATTCTTGACCAGCATTTCCACTAAAACAGAAACATAATACAGCACTACTGTTATAAATTTTCCATGAATGTTTAAAACAAAAAGCAAAACAAACTTTTTTTATGTCTATTAAATGGCTGATAATTGCAGAGAAAAAAAAGCCCTGTATTCCACAACTTTAGATAATTCTATATCTCTGGCTGAAACTGCTGCTGCTTCTTTTCCTTTTTTTTTTTTCTTTTTCTTTTTCTTTTTCTTTTTTTTTTAATCTTGTTAACTTTACTGGCCTTTGTTTCTATCTGCTTTCTGTATGGCGTAACTAATGTGAAGGGGATCCTCTTTCTCTGTTGTGACCCACCACTTCTGAGTCGATTCTTGTGCTGTCTCCTAACCGTGAGGAGCTCTGTGGAAGACGAATGAGTGCCAAGTCCTACACAGACACCTTTGGACTTCCTGAAGGAGCATGTTGCTCTTTCATAAATGAACTTGAACTGGGAAGTAGATACTTCATTTACCAAAAGGTGCAAGACAACAGTGCGACACAGCAAGAGAGCCAATTGACCTGGTGATCACGTGCAGTTAAAGTATTTAAAACAAATGTTGCCAACACCACTTTCTCCGTACTCCCACCCCACCCTGGCCTTTTTCCTTCCACCCTTTCCTTCCAGCCACAGAACTGAATTCATCTTTCTGGCATTATTTTGTCTGTTTCCTCCCTTGTGTGCAGAAAACTGTTGCCCTCCTAGGGTAACTGTGGCAGACTTAGAAGACCTTCTGGATTTTAAATGCCTTACATGTGCAGGAAAAAAAGAAATCTAATTTTCAAGTGTTTAGGATAGCAGGAATATCTGTTTGTGTGTGTTTGTCTTGATAAATGAGTTGTTAGAGCAATGCCTGGTAAAAAATTATTAATGTGAAAAACTGATATGAATGCCTAGAGGCAGACAGATTGAAATAAAAACTGATATTGATGGGATGTGTAGGTACACCAGGGTGATTGACTCTGTATTCTTAGCATTGCCCTGGTTTAGAGCTTTGTAAATCTGTTATTTATGCATACATGTGTTATGTGTATAAATACACGCACATATATGTGTATGTATTTTAAATTGGGAAATACTGATGGTAAGGAGCATGCATGCTGTCGTGAACTGTGTGGTTAATAAAGTATGGGCTGTCGAAAGTGGGGAGGGACAGAAGGCATTCCAAAAACCGGTAAAGCTAAACTATTCATGACCACAGCCGACATCTGGTGTTCAGGCAGGAATTTTATTATATTTTTGCATCATGACTCCCATGGGCTCACCAAATGATCATAAACAAAGGAAAAACGTAAATCCACTGTGTCCGTGAGTCCCGAGGAATCTTTTCTTTCGTTGGTTTAAGATAAAATCATATTTTTGGAAAATGACCTGTTTAGACTTATTCAAAGCCGTGGGGGAAGGGAGGGAAATCAGGGAAGGAGAAATTAATGGCTGTCTCACTTTGGAAGTAATGTGAATGCTGCATCTTTTCAATCTGTCAATGCTTCCATATGGAAAACAAATGCAATAAAACTTTTCCAAAAAATGGTTTGCTGTTCTTATTTTCTTTCTTCGCTCTAAACATTGGCAAAATCTGTAATGGTACTCTCTTAACTTTCACTTTTTTATGCAAGCTGGCAGAAGCAAATGAAGGTTAACTAGCTTAGTGCTCAACTTTTAAGTTTGAATATGAGTTAATCAGTAATGTACTGATCTGTTAATCAGCAGTGTTACTTCCGCATTGGGAAGTGGCTGTCAGTAACTGCATCAGCTGTGCAAATTGACTGTTTCTGCCATAGCCTGTGTTCTCCTGCTTGTTCAGGTTTTGATCTGCACAACCATGTTGTCACCTCTCTGTTACAAGACTGTGCGTAAGGATTCGCGTTATCCCCACTTGTGCTTCAGTGGGCAGGAAAATACCGTGAAGGAAATGTGGCTTTTGTGGTCACAATTTTTCCTCGTGGAGAAAAGTTAAAAAGTTTAGTTGTTTTTATGGTCTGCTGATAGTGGAAAGCTATTATAAATAAATATGTAGCTCTGATTTTAGTATGTATATAATATGGTTTTCTTCAGGTAATGCTGCCAGCTTAACAGTTAAGGGATGGCTCTTAGGGCAGTATGAGTTCAGCTGGTGAGGTGTGTGCAGGTGGTAACTTGAGTTGGTGGAGCATCTGGCCCTAAAACAGTCTTGACACAATCTCAAATGACTTTTTTTTTTTTTTTTTTGCCTTTAGTTACCTAGACAAGAAAAAAACAAATGAATGTCTCCATATATTTCACAGATGGATGTCTCCATACATTTCACAGCTTTAAAAACGGTTTTGATTATGAATTTGACTGGTGCACATTCCAGTTTTGCTTTATTTTAGTTACCCTTACTGCCTACGTATTTTGGAGGAAGATCGGTTACACTGTTCTGGTGTTCAGACCATTGTGGAAAAAATGCGTTGTTACTCCATTTTTCTTGTTTCTAGCAAATTCAAGTTATTAAACAGTGTTATATAATACTGATACTTTCAGTCAAACTGGTTTTGTTTTATATGACATCCTCACAGCTTGTAGAAATACCCATTGCTGTCTGTCACTTATTTGCCTGTCTGTCTCGGTTGCCGGGGTCATCCGGTTTACTTGCACCAACCAATTTGGTGGTGCAATTTGATGCAATTCGAATGATACCAAATGTGGGCCAGCATTAATGTGTTAGGGGCAGGTTACAGATTTTCTTCAAGAAAAGTCTTTTCTTGAACAGGATTACCTGATTGCAGGTGCTTGTTCTGTTTTAGCGTGGCCAAGAGAAATGGAACGACAAACTTGATCACAGGCAGAGTGCCGTTGTGGCAAACACAGCTTTGCCTTTTCGTTATGGCAGGCAAATCTGGAAGTTGAAGCTAGGCAAATTCAGATTGGAATTAAGGTGATTAATTGATTATTTGCTATTGGAACAGCTTGGCATAAGTTGTGGCAGATTCTGCATCGAAGTGGCAATTCTCACACCATGGTCATGCCTTTCTTTTCTGAAAAATTAAGCAGTGCTTAAGCAGGAATGATTTCAAGGAACTTCGACATCCGGTGTTTCATGGGGCCAGGAGGATCTCCTGTGAAAGTCTACCTTAATTGTGATTTCAAATAGTAAGCAATACTTCCTGTGCCTTAACCTTAATTTACAAACCATTACAATGCCTGCTTGTTCTCTTTGCTCTGGGGTTTGAAGTGTGTTAAAAGAACCTCCTATAACTCTTCTAACGTGTGAGAGCTGTCCAGCAGATCACCTCTCCTGGGTCAGACCATCCAGCTCAGCCTCCTCTTTCCAGCGGTACGCAGGAGCAGGTACCAAGGGAAATAGCGTAAGAAACGGGGCAATTGTCTCTGTTCTGATATATCCTTAAGCATCACAGTGATAGCAAAGGTTAATCTTATCCTACTATCCCTGCTTTTGCAGAGTTCCACCTTTTAGTGAAATGGAAGTGGCCAATATCTATTTCTGTGTGTTTGGTTTTTCTCTTGAGTATTTGTTCAAAAATTAAATAGTTTGGAACAGTTAAGGATTTTTTTTTTTTCCTGAGGTGAAGTAGGTACGTTATGGGGAAGAGAAACAGGTGTTGGCTTGATTTGAAATACAACATCCTCACTTTCTAAAATAATGGGGGAGGTACTTGGTAAAGATTTAAAAAGTTTCTTTAAACAGCAATGCAGTGTCTGCAACATTACAGGCAATTCTGCATTTCTTCCTTCCCCCTTACATTTTTTGAAAGGCAAAAGGGGGTTACAATTTTGTGGATTCCATATTTTTTTAGGTAACGTTTTAAGTAAAACAGTAAGTTACTGATTACTGTTTTTTTTCCCCATTGGTCTCTCTTTTCTAATTCTGCATCACTAAAACCCAGATTTCCTGGAAACTCTTTTTTGTTTGTTTTCTTAATCCTTTCCTCCCTTTCCATAATCCTCCTCAGACCCTACTGCCCATGGGGCAGGTAGACAAAATTAGGACAGGATGCAATTTTTAAAAGTTCTTGCTTTGAATACATGCATTAAAGGGATTGGTGAGGTCAGGCCAGGAGAGAGAAAGTATGCCCCATCCAGTCTGATTAACGGCACTCTAATCTGGCATTAGTACAGCCTCCAGTTGACCTTGCTGATCGCCTTGATTAGCAGATTACTGTTCAGAGCGAGGTGAACGATGTTGGGTTTTGGCAGGGAGGAGCAGGGTCGCTCCCCAGAAACTAAGTTAAAGGTTCTTATTCCCGGCTTAGATGGCAACGTCGGCTGAATTGGATTACGCACGAGAGCGAGGGCGGGCTTTGAGCTTGTGCTGCCTGGGAAGAGTTTAAATGCGTGATGCGTTTCTCCTCCTGCCCCATGCTACTTGTTTTTCTTCTCTCTAAATACTCACACAACCAATGCTACAGCCATGATGACGATTTGGTTCTAATACAGAAGATATTTTCCAACTGGTTAAAGAACAGCTGAGAGCGAGCCTAAGTTGCTTCTGTGCTTTTAGCTGCGAAAGAGCCTTCCCGCTCGCAGCTGCCCGGCCGCAGGACTCTGCAACGAGAGTTCTTCATTGCTGCGGAGGAAAAAAACAAGCTAAAGCAGCCTGCAAAGGTTCAGCTCCGCTGTGCGTGAGTGCTGCCTGTCTCCAGGCCTGCCCGGGAGGTAAGGGCAGGCACTGGGCACCGTGGTGCACAGCACCACGTGCCTCCTCCGAAGGGGGCTGCAGGTGGCAAGGGCTTTTTCCCGGAGCACGTGGACGTGGTCCAAACCATGCGCTTGCAAGCTTGGGACCAGCACAAAAGCACACCCCTCTGTGCTTAACATTGCAAGGTGAGCACTTGTGCTCCAGGGGCTGAGTTTTTCTCAGAACTGCCAACCTCGAAGACTTGAGTCTTGATATCATGTCATTTCTCATTCTGCAAATTCACCGCTGAATTACTCTAGAGTCAGCATGAGAAATGTGGCGTGAATGAAGTTCACAAAAGCTTTGCATTTAATTCCTCTGTTTATGGTGTGAGGGTTTTTTTTTTTTTTTCTTTTCTCCTGGGCCTGCTTATGCTCACTTGGTATCATTGCAAAACCACATTGCTGTTCATTAAAATGTTATGTTATTTATATGGCCTATTGTGAGTGCAGTTGGGATGCTGCTGAAATATTGCATGTATTTACTTTTCCCTGCAAAGTTTTGAAATGATTTGTGGGTAATTAGAGAAAATTTCCAGAACTGGAACATAACAAGAGGCGTAATTTTTTAATCTAGCCATTATAAAACTGCTGTTTTAAATGGTTTAAACTGAACATGCTTGTTTTTCCTTTTCTCAAGTGTCTAAAAACTTTGATCCCCAGTATCCCTGCTTTATTAAGAACAGAGCTGCTACACTGTCACTGGTATTATTATGAGCATATAACGTTCAGCTATAGCTCTGACTCCTCTCCTATACATTGCGGAAGACGTGCATAAAAAATTGTGCCCTATTTCAGGTAGCAGTAACCTTAAAAGTGTTCTTAGTCCCATATTCCTACATGGAGGAGACTACCAGAAAAACATCCCTGCCAAAATTCAATGGACCTGATCAAAATACAGTCAAAATATTTGTTTTAGTAAGGGGATGCTCTTAGAGAAGAAGTGAGAATATTGACTGACCAAGGCCTCTTAGAAAATGATGGGTCCCGCTTTGAGGCCTGCACTTCAGTCCGTATAGATTTCTTCGCACCCCAGTGGGTATCAAGCTTGCGTTTTGATTTTGTCTTTAAGAATGTGTTCAATGGGATTTTTGTTCTTCAATATTTGCTGTTAATTGGTGCAAAGTAAACTTGCTCTTACGTCAACTTCTAGGCTACATACGGCTACAGTAAACCAGTGGTGACTGGAAAACATTGCAGTATTTTGCCTGTGTCTGAACTACTAAAAATGAGCAAATAAGATACGATGCCAACTTAAAATTTCATTACTTGTTGCGGGGGGACTCAGCATCGGGAGGAGAGAGCCAAGTCCCAAAGGGGATGGCTTTTTAGAAGCCATCTTTCTACCATTAAAATCGATGGGAATTCATACTGAAATAGCTGCATTAAGATTCAGACTGTGCATGAGTTTTGTCATGTTTTAGAGGTGTTTATTAAATTTGGAGATGAAACATCAGTAAAACAGGTTGCTAACTAAAACTTGAGCGACAGCCCAGCTGTAGAGGCATAGTTTCGCACATGTTTGTGCAGCAGCCGCTGTAGCACCTACTTTTAATGTGAAACAACCCCAAACTCTTCTCTTCTTGCAGGGTATTGAGCGTCTTAAAAATCAGAAGCCAACTTGGGAAAAGATCAGCGGCTGGGAAGGAATGAAAGTGGCGTTCGGTGGTGCTTTCTCCTTGGGTTGGTTCAGTCCTTTTTCGAATCTGGACTGTAAAAAACCACCATCGCCTGAAGCAGCAGCAGCAGCAGCTCCTGCGTCTGCAATTATGACCCAAGAAGAAATTGAGCAATTTCTAGCTCAAGATGTTGCAGTCCAAGTGTTACATGAATAACCAAAACATCCTCCAAGATGTCGAGAGAAGCTTTCCGTTTTGTTTTTTTTTTTTAATAACTATTTGTGCTGAAGATTTAGGGGATTTTTAAATGGACTGTTGAGGTGAAAAATATTCAGGAGTATTTATCCAGAGGTCGGGTACAACACTAGCAGAAGCAATGCAAATTTCCAG